CAGAATGAGAAACAGGAATGTGTGTGACTAGGAGGAACAACAGTAAAAATGTGAAACCCTAAACTGGTGTACCCCTTATGGTGTGACCCACTACAGCCTAGAACCACACAAACATATAATGTTTGACAGCGAGGTCGCGCGGGAGTCTGGCATACACCACAAATGCCTCATAGAGTGGAAAAACCAAGCGGAGGAGCTCAAGGCTGCACACAGTGCTCGGTGTCGACTTCATGGGCGCGGAAGGTCTTCCTGGTACAGACCCATGGAGATGAAGGTGTACGCCCAACTCTTGGACTGGCGACGCCGCGGTGTGGCAGTATCAGTCGGCCGGCTGCAAGACTGGTCAAAAGAGGAGATGAAGGTGTTGTTCTCGGACGTCAAGTGGAAGGCGAGTCAGCGCTGGACGGAGCGGTTCCGTAAGCGGTGAAATCTCATCGTGCGCATGAAAACAAAGGTGCCGCAAAAGACACAGCAGCGTAAGTGCCTGTCTGTGCACTGTCATCCTATCGTGAAATTGTTATCTTGTATTTCAGTACTTTCTTGCCCATGTTTGTTTATCTGTAGCGGTGCTCATCCGCCCTTTTAACCGTTCCTCCCTCCCCGTGCGCAGACGTGGCCAAGCAGTGCAAGGAATTTTGGCAGTTTGTCCGCGACGCACGCCACGACTACGACATCGACAATCGTTACATCATCAATGCCGACCAGACGCCTTTGTGGCTGGAGATGCCGGCGACTACCACGGTGGAGCAGACTCCAAAAATCGGGTTGTACGCGAAGCAGTCGACCCCGATAAGGAATTCGGGAAATTCCTTACACCACCCCCCCCCCCCCCCCCCCCCCCTCCCCCTTAAGAAAGGCAGTCAATATCCAAAACACGCCTTCGCGCCAGGTAATCACCAACAAGTGGCGAGGCGTCGAGCGAGGCGGATGGCACCCACGTGTCGTCCTCACTGGTGCGGTCAGTCCAGCGAATTAAGAAATCCACGTGTCAGCCAACTGCGTCAAGGCGGACCCGATGAGCGAGGATTTTGGAAGGGTCAAGGGTCGGCTCTGGGACAGGACGTGCTGTCGGGGCAGCGTGCTGACGTGCGATGTCGGTCGTTGCTGGTACAAACTTTCGAAGAAGGCTCACGTGGAAGGCGTCATGAATGCGCCAGTCGTCGGGTAGCAACAGCTTCGCGGTGACAGGTGTCACCATCTTGAGAATCTTGAACGGTATGCAAAATCGTGGCCGTAATTTTGATGGACTGGGCAGGCGCAGGTTCGTCGTGTCAAGTAGCACTAGTTGCCCAGTTGTCAAGACGAGTTCTCGTCGTAGAAGGTTGGTGTATTTGCGGGAAGTAATATTCGCCTTGCGAATTGCGTCTGCGGCTTTTTCTCGGACTTCCTGAAGTTCCGTCACGAAAGTCTGTGACCTCGGGACCGGATTGTCGAGAGTATTTGCCGTAGGAACTGTCGGGCCCATCCCGTAATTTAGGAGAAATGGGGAGTGATTAGTCGTGCTGGACGGTGCGTTGTTGAAAGCGAATTCCAACATCGCAAGCGAGTCTTCCCTGCGGGCAGGGTCGGGGAAGTTTGTCTTTATTAGCTGCTCCATGGTCTGATTGGTCCGCTCGGTTTGACCGTCCGTTTGTGGGTGATATGCCAATGAGAACTGTAGCTTCGTGCCGTACTGCGCCCACGTCTCCTTCCAGAACTTGGATGTGAACTTCGGGTCTCGGTCGCTGATGATCGCCGAAGGGATGCCGTGCAGTCGCACGACTGTGGAGATGAAGAGGCGCGCAGTTTCTTCGGCTGTGATTGTCGTTCGGCATGGTGCGAAGTGTGCCATTTTCGTGAAGCAGTCGACGACGACGAGAACAGCGTCGTTGCCGGACGGCCCAGCTGGCATCCCCGTGATGAAATCCATTGTCACTTGCTGCCACGGTCGTTCGGGTGGCTCGAGGGGTTGCAGCAGCCCAGCTGGTCGCTGACGTGTCGATTTCATAGCTTGGCACACCCTGCAAGAGGACACATAGCGCTGCACGTCGTTAGATGAATCAGGCCAGTAATATTGACGGTGCAGTAGTTTCTGGGTTTTATCAACCCCGAAGTGTCCGGAGAAGTTCGAATCATGGATTTCCTGGATGAGAAGTTCACGCAGCAGTCGGTAAGCGGGAACCCAAATCCGGTCGGTTCCGGCTTTTAGGTAATAGTCCCCTTTCTGCGTCGTAGCGTGCTGATGATTTCCCGTCGTGAAGAATGGGTCCGTCGTGTAGCCGTGGGTAAATAGTCCGGTAAGTAACGGGTTCGAGTGGGTGATGAGTACTGCAGCGGATTATACTATCGGTTGGGTCAGGGCGTCGGCGATGTTATTAGCCCCTTTTTTGTACGTGATGCGGTAGGTGAAGTGGCTCTCCATGTAGTCCAGCCACCGAACCTGTCGTGGGTTGAGGTTATCAGAATCCCAACCACTAGACCATTGGGATAAAAGGGCTTGTTTCATTAGCGGGTCAGAGTGCGCCCATAACCCCCCAGGCAAACGCGCCTGTAACCCCCCGTATGATCAATCGGGCATCCACAGTGCAGATCTACTGACACCCCCCCACACTGGGAGGCGCAGGACTGAGCACAGCGGCAACGGCCTACATGTGCATACACCGAGATTCGAACCCGAGACCACTCTGACACCATGTCAGAATCCCAGTCACTAGACCATTGGGATAGAAGGGCTTGTTTCAGTAGCGAGTCAATGCGCCCATAACCCCCTAGGCAAACGCGCCTGTAACCCCCCGTAGGATCAATCGGGCATCCACAGTGCAGATCTACTGACACCCCCCCACATTGGGAGGCCCAGGACTGAGCACAGCGGCAACGGCCTACATGTGCATACACCGGGATTCGAACCCGAGACCACTCTGACACCATGTCAGAATCCCAGTCACTAGACCATTGGGATAGAAGGGCTTGTTTCAGTAGCGAGTCAATGCGCCCATAACCCCCCAGGCAAACGCGCCTGTAACCCCCCGTAGGATCAATCGGGCATCCACAGTGCAGATCTACTGACAGAGGTTGGGTTGGTCTCGCAGGTACTGTAGGGACTTGTGGTTCGTGCGAACAATGACGTCGGCGCCCACCAGGTAGCATCGCCATAATTTAAACGCGTGTATTATGGCGAGCATCTCCTTGTCGTGGATCGGGTAGTTGCGTTCGGCTGCTTGTAGCTTGCGTGATTCGTAGGCTATTGGCTGCAACCCGTTTCCGAAGTCTTGGAGAAGCACAGCTCCAATGGCGAAATCTGAGGCGTCGGTTACAACTTCGAACGGCTTCGATGGGTTGGCGATGCGCAGCATAGGAGGGGAAACGAGGAAATTCTTGAGTTCCTGGAAAGCCGCTTCTGCCTCCTCCCCCCACACAAAATTCTTGTCCTTGTGCAGCAGGTCGGTCAACGGGCCGGTTATCCTCGCCATATTCGGGATAAACCGCCGGACGTAATTTACGAATCCGAGAAACTTTCGAGTTCCGTGACGTTCGTCGGGGACTTCCACTCCTGGATGGTCTTGATTTTCGCCGGGTTGATTTTAATGCCGTCGCGCGAGATGACGTGCCCCAAAAACTCCAACTCCTGCTCAAAAAACTCGCACTTAGAGCCCTTGGTGATGAGTCGGTTCTCCTGCAGCCGCTTAAACACTGCATCCAGGTCGCGGAGGTGCTGCTCCCGTATCTTGCTGAAAATGAGGATATCGTCCAAATAGACGATGACACACCGGTCTAGAAGATCCCGAAAAACCCTGTTCATGGTCAGTTGAAAAGTCGAAGGCACATTCGTGAGGCCGAAAGGCATCACTGTAAATTCGTAACTCCCCTAGCGTGTGCGAAACGCAGTCTTGTGACAATCGTCAGCGAAGACTCGAATCTGGTGGTAACCGCCACATAAGTCAATTTTCGAGAAATATCGAGCGCCGCAAAGTTGGTCGAGGAGGTCGTCGGTGCGTGGGATTGGGTAGCAAGACTTGATGGTGACCCGGTTCAGCGTGCGATAGTCGATACACATGCGAAGCCCGCCGTCCTTCTTCGGGCTGAACAGGATCGGTGCTGCGAAGGGAGATGTGCTGGCCCGAATGAACCCTTTCTCCAACAGTGCGTCAATTTGACTTCGCAGTTCCTTGAGTTCCGGCTGGGTCAACCGCCACTGTGTCCGAACAGTCGGCTGCGCGCCAGGTTCCAGCTGGATTTTGTGGTCCTCATGTCTCTTTGGTGGTAGTCCAGGTGGCAGGTCGTCGGGGAAAATGTCCGGGTACCTCCGAATCAGCTCCGCTAAATCCGGTGGTACAGCTGCACACAGCTTCTTGATGTCCTTTCCTTCGGTGTCAACCGCCAACTCGCGTAAACAAACAGCGAACAGTTGCGCGCCTCTGTTGAAGTGGCGAATATAGTGATAGCTTTGACGCACGGGGCTTGGATGTAGTCAGGCGTCCATGCAGGCAGTTTAATTAGCCCCTCGTGCTTTTTGATGCTGCATGATCCCGTTGTCCAGTCGATGACGGGGTTGTGCCGTCGCAGCCAATCACGTCCCAGCAGCACGTCGCAACCGTCCAATGTTGTCGCGAGAAACTTCATGCTGAAGCCGAAATCGTCGCCGCATTCGATCCTAACCGTCCGTGTTTCTTCCGTTATTGCCAGAGGCGTCCTATCCACGAGGCGGGCGTCAATTTCGGGCAGACACCTGTCAAGTTGCAGCTTGCATTTTTTTGCGCTCGCCAAGTTGAAGAGGCTATGGCTGGCCCCTCATTGAAGAGGCTATGGCGAGTGCAAACTCATTGAAAAACGACCGTGGGCAGGAAAAGGCAAGCCTTAGGCAAATGGCAGGTGTGAAATCTAGAAACCGTGAGTTGGCGATTGGTGACTGGCTCACACTCTCTTCTCTCTGTTGACAATGCCTCCATTCCACTGTGTTCCATATACCAAATTTGAGGCCATCCCCTAGACTAAAGACTAATTACATAATTCTTCTGTGAATTTCACCCTGCCCCAAACACCCTGTGACGGACTGGAAGGGGGGGACTGAGATATGGAGAGAGCGATGGGGGAAGGTGCCCCATTTAAGACAATGAGGTAGATGCCTCACTCAACACCTCGAGGTAGATGCCTCACTCAACACCTCGAGGTAGATGCCTCACTCAACACCTCGAGGTAGATGCCCCACTCAACACCTCGAGATAAATGCCTCACTCTTGACAATGGGGTAGATGCCAGGCAGCACGTTGATGCCACACACGCCATCCCCTCCCTGAATGTCCATGCGCATGTGGCCCCGGTCACCCCACTCCACTCCCCACGAGTTGCGGATGATCCAAAATGGAGGCGCTATGCGATTTTGGCTGCCGTCATTTCTCAAGATGAAGTATCCGATAACGAGTACAACGTGGTCCAGTCTGCCGGTATAGCAGCCAGGATTCTTGTACTTGAAGGTCTGAAGAGAAAGGGGGCACCAAAACAGCTATGGAAGGATGGAACAAGAAACAACAAAGAACCACTTCAGGCATACAGCTTAATGCTGGTAACACCTTGTGTACAACCCTGGGTTGGTTTTTGGCATACATGTAATGCGAACAACTTCTGTATAACTCTTGACAACTTGTGCACAGCATGAAGGGTCAACGCAAGAAACACCCACCCCGTCAAATTGTGCAAAACTCAGAGCAGAAGCCTCGATGTGAACCACCACTGGCTGTCGACGCACTGCCAGCATGAGCCCCACAAACCCCTTGAACCTTGTGCGCTCAAAGCCATGAATAGGGTACTCCTTTTTCTGAAGATGAACATTTCAAAGGGGATTTAATAACAGATAGGAAGGAAGAGAGAAACATAAAAGGAGGTCACGATGGAAAACGAAAGTTTGCTTGCTGAAAATGGTTCCGGCCAATCATAGGAAGCACTAGAATGTTGGGTGCATTGCAAAATGATTAGAATATACATTCTGTTCTCTATACGTTGCCTTCTGAATGTTTTATGGAACCTTCAAGTCTGGCTCGGCCCTCTTTCAGCTCGTGGCAAGCCGACCTGAGCTGACCGTTGACCATGCGTGGTAGAAGCTGTTTGCCTCTTGCTGTCATAACTTGGTCTCTTGGCCCTGACCCAACCAATCTATTACTGTGTATGAGACTTCAGGGGTACTCGTATGCTAACAGATAATTAGTTCAACACGGTTATAAGTTGCAACCAACGCCAGTGGCTTGAACGACTCGGAGAGAGTCCTCATATCACAAGTTGTAGTATAGTCGCAACTCTCTCAACATCACACACACCACTTCAAGGTTCCCAAAATCTCTCATAAAAAACAATACATTCTAGGCTCACACTTCACCACACTACTCACAGGCGCTCCAACCTCTGTGACTCCACCGCGAGGCAGCATGAGAAGCCTTTCCAACGCCTCGGTGGGGGAGCCCCCCGTGCTGCACTTGTCAGCTTCGGAGGTGAGCCCCATGGCTGCAAAGAGTGACTCCACTGACAGCTGCGGCGCCTCTGCATTCAAGGCAATGCCGTATGCCGCTTCCACACTCGCCACCAGCGCAAACGCCCAACAAGCACCTGCGTATGATGAAAATTGTTCCGTGAATAATTGATGCTCATGCGATGATGGCTGAAAAATGGAGACACATATTGCCCTGATTATTGTGCGATGGTTGAAACATGAAAGCGACCAGCAGCAGAACAACAAACGGAAAGACGCAGATCGTAAAAACTAACCAAGACACACCAGCCCACCTATTGGCTCCAACATGCTTCCACAGGTTCCCATCGGTTTCACTCACTGCAGTCTTTTTGGTCCTTGACAGGCCAGCCGAGGAAGGGCACGGAGTCCAGGAGTGGAAGTCGCTGATGAACCACGAGTCCTGCTTGCTGGGCGCAACACGGTAGTCCGCACTCACGTAGCGCGGGAAGGGGCTGGCCCGTGCTGGCATGTACGTGTTCGTTGATAGCTGCAGGCCATAGGCTGTGACATGCTCAGAAGTTGAATTATAGAGAAAGGAATGTGATGTGAAAGTGACAAGTTGTTACAAGGCAGAACTTGAAGGGGGATAATGGGTACAATTGTCTGTGGTGCATTGCCCTAACGTTGCTGGACTGCAACCCATATCCAATAACATCTGCACCTCAAGTGCTCATTACAAACTTGTTTCACATCCACCAAACAAGCACTCCGTTCAAGCATAGTTCATGCATGTCTCTCATCAAGAAATCGCTTCCCTAATTCCGTAAACGAAGTTGCTCAGCTTCTCCATTTTCCAGTTCGCTTGAGATTTATGCGCACCGTGCTGTGCACCATCAACCACACTGTCTAGGTTATTCTTCTTTCTTACACCCAATGTACTGAATGCATGAGTATTTAGTACAAAGAACCTCCAGAAGAAAAGAAAAACATGGTAAGACGGAGAGTGAAGGATACATGTGGAAAGATAAACAAACGCGAGGGGAAATGTCTGTACACATTATAAGATGATAATAACAATCACACTGTCACAATGCTTGCCTCTTTTGTCCTTCTAACAGAGGTAGTTGCGAGAGTCGCAACAGAAGCATGGGAGACGATGTCTCACCTGGATTACGTGTGACTGTTCGGGGAGAAGCAGGAAGGCCTGCACAAAGACAAAGCAATCAGAGCGAAGATAGAAGACACCATGTAAGATTCAGAAATGTGTGACTCATATCAAATTGCAGTCACTTTCAAATTGACCTCCATCGGTAACCTCATCAGCGCCAGAGCTAACCTCATCTTCACCAGCACTACCCCCATCGTCACAATTCCTTACATCACCATCCACTCCCTCAGTCTCGTTGCCACCTCCTTTACACCTCCGGACTGGACCTCCCATGTTGTTAACCACCATGCCAAGCCCATCCACCTGAAAGCACACACTGCTTACCTGTATCCACTGTCGATTTAAGAATGACGTGCCGCTGAAACGGCTTCACAGTGGTGGACGCCACGAAGCCAAAGAAGAAGGCGGCTGATCAACTGCACCCTGCAGCACCTCACACAGCGCCAGCCTCCACTCCAGCACCGCCTGCTGCGGCTTCTCCTGCGAGTCAGCCAGGAAGACCTGGATGGTACCGGGGTCTCCTGGCTCATAGTCCACCCACGCCGTGAACGCCTTCCTGTTGCTCAGACGGAAGGGTGACCTCACAGCGACTAGCGATTTGTCCTCGCCTCGACGTTCAGCCCCACATGCTGGCTGCTCATGTCGCCATGCTCCTTGTTCCGCAGAGTGTCAAACTCCACCGCCATGCTCCGTGTGTCCATTCCACCATACCCCACTCCAGCGCCACTCCCCACCTGGTCCGTTGCCGAGATGACAAACGCTAAGCCGTTGAAGCCCACGCGGCCAGATCGAGGCGAGAGGGAGAAGGTGAAGTTGGCGTGAAAGGCGAGCTGCAGCCCACACCGCGACAGTCCCTGGTTCGCCTCGTACACAAACAACTTCACCGGCTCTGCGGTGAAGCTCCCCTTCGTCTCGCGCTGCCCCCCCAGGTGAGTATAGATGCTGGTGGGAGAACCGCCTGACTGCTTGAGTAGTTTTTGTTATGGCCTGCACAAACATGACAGACAGATGGATAGGAGTGGATATGTGTAAGAACTTGAGCGAAAATTAATTGATTCAATAAAGGAGCTCAAGGATCCGAAGTACATTAGAACATGGGTGGGAACAGATGGGCAGGGATCGGGGCCCAATTCCCAATGAGATCGGCTGAAACCTTTCACTGGTGGTGGGGTTGAAGGTTTCAGTTGATCACATCACATTTGGGTTGGGTTGGGATATTGGTGTAACACCCAACTAGGGTTGAGCAAAAAAACGAACACCGCGAACCGAACAGGTTTGTTTTTTT